AGAACACTGTATACATAATAAATAAATCAACCTTTAAAAAAAATCAGCTGGGCAGTGGTGGCTCACGCCTTTAATCCCAGCACTCGGAAGGCAGAGGCAGGCAGATCTCTGTAAATTCGAGATCAGCCTGGTCTACAAGAGCTAGTTCCAGGAAAACCTCCAAAGCCACAGGGAAACCTATCTCGAAAAGCAAACAAACAAACAAAAACAATCAAACCCAGTTTGGCTTCCCTTCTGTGATAAGAATGGGTATTAGGAGCCTTTAATCCCAGCACTCAGGAGGCAGAGGCTGGCGAATCTCAATGAGTTCAAGGCCAGCCTGGCCTACAAAGTGAGTTCCAGGACAGCCAGGACTATTACACAAAGAAACCCTATCTAGGGGAAAAAAATCAAATCCAAACAAAGATACATCAACAAAACATGGAACCTCTATAAAAATATTTTACTCATTAGTTTTATTTCATGTTAAGTTCCTAAGATAAGTTATACTAAGCCCTAAGCTGAATTCACAAATAACAAACAAGATAGAGCCCCAGGTAGTGTGTGGTTTTAGGGTGCAGAGGGCGGGGCAACTCATCCCAAAGGACCATAATTAGTAAAATGACAAGGTAAATGTCGTAAGTGTGGGAGTGACAATGGCACACAGTAGTCTGAACTTGTCTGGGGTCTTGCCCTTCCTCTCAGTGAGATCCGGTGTGTGACTGACCTTCTGTATACCTGTTGTCTTCCCACCTGTCAGAAAAGACTAATAACAGGCCTTACACCACAGGGCTGGTGAAAGGGATAAATAAGATAAAGCAGATTAAAAAGTGTGTGGCCTTAAGCACTCAATTAACAGCAGCTTCACAACATAATAAAATATTAGCTACTTCTTTCTTTCTTTCTTTCTTTCTGTTCTGTGTAGCTTTGGATCCTATCCTGGCACTCGCTCTGGAGACCAGGCTGGCCTCGAACTCACAGAGATCTGCCTGCCTCTGCTTCCCAGTGTGCACCATCATTGCCTGATTTGCAAGCCAGGCTTTTCAACTTTTGTTTTTTGTCTTTTGAGACAAGGTGTCACTTTGTAGCCAATTGACCTTATACTCCATTTGTGAAACTAACTATTCTGAAACTCACCACCCTTCTGTCTCCTCAGCTTCCCAAGTGCTGGAATTACATGCATGTGCCATCATAGGAACCAGGCTTCTGGGTTGGGGTGGCATGGGATGTTGGGGGAACCATAATCCAAAGTGAGGCTCTGGTTGTTCTAGAACAAGTATTCATAAGTGTACTGAAAAGAATATGAATATTTCACTGGGCATGGTATCTTATGCAAGTAATCTCAGCACTGGGGAGGCTGAGGTAAGCAGCTATGTATGGAGACCTTGTCTTAAAACAAAACACAAAAACCATACATTTTGCTGTAGAAGATTCAGTATGTTTGGTTTGTGTGTGGTTTTTTTTGTTGGTTTTTGAGGGGGGGGTTGCTTTTATTTGTTTGGTTTTTGGAGACAGGGTTTCTCAATATAACAGTCCTGGCTGTCTCTGAACTCAACAACCAGGTTGACCTAGAATTTACAGAGATCCTCCTGCCTCTGCCTCCCAGGGGGTTGGAATTAAAGGCGTGTATCACCACTGCTTGGCAGTATGTTTGTTATGAATGATGCCTCAGCCCAGTTGGAAGGGTTGTCTAAATTCTCAAACATGTGGTATCACTGGTTCTCAGGCAGTATTATGAGCATACATACACGCACTCTCATATTCGTGTCAGAAGGACAAGGTTTAAGGTCTTTTCCACTTAGTCATAGATTTTTTTTTGGGGGGGGGGACGGACGGACAGGGTTTCTTTGTGGCTTTTGGAGGCTGTCCTGGAACTAGCTCTTGCCGACCAGGCTGGTCTCGAACTCACAGAGATCCACTTGCCTCTGCCTCCTGAGTGCTGGAACTAAAGGCGTGCGCCACCACCGCCTGGCTGGAATTAATTTTCTTATTACAAATTTCAGTATAGTTCTAAGAAATCCAGAATTTCAAATCCTTAATTGTAGTATTAGCGGGGAGAAAGGGTACTGCTGAGCTTGGAACCAAGCTTGACTTTTGACTCCCGCTACCAAGCTGTCTACTTCCGTGTCATTATCTCCAGGGCAATGCCTAGCAACAGCTCCTGACCTTAAACAGTCCCTTCATAAATAAACATTGAATACACAGAAATGAGGTGGTGTTTCATTCGCAGGTTGTCATTCCGTTTTCCCTCTTGGTCCAGCTGCAGGCTGGGGGCAACAGTAGACCTTGGTGGGAGGGAACACGATGGGGCATGATCCATCACAGAGCCACGAGGACGTGAAGGGTCCTAAAGTGGTCAAGCTCCCCTCCCTTCGAGCGTCCTACAGGGAAGCTGGACCTCAGTCCTGCCCTAGGAGAGCATCCGATGGTCCCTCCCTTTGATAGAGAAGCTGCGGCTCTCTCCATCTTCCCTGAACTTTCTTCGCCCAGATCAACACTCGAACATGAAGCCACCCACGGGGGTGGGCTGCCAGAGCCCACCGAGCAGAGCACAACTAGCGCCAGCCAGGAACGACTAGTCCGCTAGCCCCCGCCCCCAGCCCTGGAGGACCGTGGGTGGACGCTCTGGCAGCCCGCCTCTCGCTGGTCTGGGAGGGGGTGGGCGGAGTCAGCGCTGCCCGGGTTGGGGAAGCGGAGGGTGGGGACACTCTGGCCCGGCTCTCGGTGGTGCGGGAGCAGCTGGAGCCCCGGGCGGGGGGCGGGCGG